ATGGGGACGAAGCTCCTTCCCTCCGGGTCTGTCTGAGCGCGCTGCTCACGCTAACGGAGGCCTAGCAGCCCAGTCGGTCCGCCGGAATTCTGATGTGACAGCTCCAAGTTGAAAGTGGCACAAGGTTCTCTTGTTGCTGTAGCGACAGTCTCGTGTAGCCCCAGGCTAGCTTCGAACTCGTGCTTCTCCCGCTTTCACCTTCCGAGCGCCTGGGGTGGTCCCAGAAGTACACCCCAGTTCGGGATGGGCTCTTGATATTTCTCGGGGTGGGGTTTCGGTTTTCTGAGCACTGCTAAAGTTGCATCGTACCAAAGGTTTTCTACGTGTTAGGGTAACTGTTGGAGAAGAGAATTGCATCAACTGGGTTTTGGGTAGTGTGGCCCGCGTGAATGTCATTGGGTTTTAAACAAACTCACTCTGAGACACTAAAGTTTGAGAGTGATCCGTGACTTTAGAAGAAACTTGGTGTTTTGTTTGCGTATTTTTTTTTTCCTTTCGGTTTATTTACTGTTGTGTGAGGTTTCTCATAGAAATGCAGATCTTGGCTAGGCGTGGTGGTCCACACCTTTAATTCCAACTTTCCAGAGGCAGAGTTGGGTAGATCCCTGGAGGGTTCCAGGTCAGCCAGAGCTACATATTAAGACCCTATCAAAACAAAACAAACAAACAAATTCAAGAGAACCTAGTGCTAGTAAGATAAGAATTTTTAAAACAGTTATTTTTTTTAAAAGCCACATTACACTATTGTATGAGATCTGCCATCATTTGTCAGAATTGTCATAATAACACTACAGAAATATCAGCATTCCAGAGATGACAAAAACAAGCTAAGAGACTTGCCCAAGTCTACTTAGCTAGAACAAAAGCACAAACTCAGATCTTCAAATAAGTTTTGGGTTTTTTGTTGTTGTTGTTGCTTATTTGTTTGTTTTTTTTTAATTAAGAGCTGCCTGGCAGGACATATCTCATGTGCAACTTGAGTTTCATAATTCTGAACTTGTAGAAATTTGTGTTAAAACAAACTACTTAAGCAATTTGTGGGAGAGTTTTGGGAATTAGTCATAAGGATAGATATTTATGAATGATTTCTAAGATGAGAGTTCTACCGAATATAACTTAATCTCACTTTTGTCAAAGAATAAAAGATGACAACAGCAGCCAGGCCAACTTTTGAACCTGCAAGAGGTGGACGAGGAAAAGGAGAAGGGGATTTGAGCCAGCTTTCAAAGCAGTATTCAAGCAGAGACCTCCCCTCTCATACAAAGATAAAATACAGGTAATAAGGCCTTGGTTTGTCTTGTTCACAGAATGGGACCAAACCTGCATGACTTATGACTGTGTCTAGATTGTTGTATTTGTTACCTATCTTCAAAGAAATGGAATTCAAAGGGGTTTACAATAAATTATACTCTGTGGTTTTTAAGTGTTACTGGACGTTCTTTCAGTAGACATTCCTATCAACCAGAAATTCCTGTGTGTAGATGAAGCACTCATTCATGATAAGTACCTCAGAGAAGACTGAACTGTAGTGAATATGGAAGCGTTACTGTGACAGCCCTTGAGTTGATTAATAGTTTAAAAAAACAAAGACATTTCATTCAGACATTTCATGTTGGAGGAGAGTGTGTGCTTTAGTTTGTTCTAATAGTAATACTGAAAACATCGCAGGTGTCCCTTATTATCGTGTCCTCTTTCATTTTATTGGTCAGAGATAGTTGTATCCTAAATTGTCTTAAATTACTGTAGCCTTATAGGTTCTTTTCCTTGACAAGTGAGAGTAACATTTTTAACCCAGTTTCTTTCTTCTTAAGACAAACTACACAGGATGCCCCTGAAGAGGTTCGTAACCGTGACTTTAGGAGAGAGTTGGAAGAGAGAGAGAGAGCTGCTGCAAGGGAAAAAAATAGGGACCGTCCAACCCGAGGTACCTACACTGTTCTTAGTGTCTGTCTCAAAGTTATTTGGTGGAGATTGTTTGTGTGTTGGTCATTGGAGATGATGTTTTTGTGTACTATACCTCTTTGATAAATGATTAGAGATAATAATGACGTTCATTCCAGTTCCATCTTCTCATGCTTTGGTATTAGAAGAAATGGTGTTTCAAAGCCATCATTTCAGTACCTGTCGTTAGACTTTGGCTTTACAGCAGCTGGAACCCAGGCCTTCTATCCAGAGCTGCCCCATTTTATTCATTCCTCCATGTAGTTGAGATGCGTCAGTAACCCTTCTTGTGTTTCTAGTATGTATGAACATTGGCTAAGTTTCCTGAGATGCTGCCATCCTCATAACTCATTAATTCATTTAATATTTACTACCATATATTTATCAAAGGCTTATTTGCCAGCCATTGGGGGAATCCCTGCTGTCACTATGTTTTTTTTGTGTGGATTCTTTTTGCCCAAAAGTTTCTAAAATGTTATTTTAAAATGCAGTATTTGTTTCATTAAGCTAAATGTTTGTTTTCTTCAGAACATACAACTTCCTCTTCAGTGTCAAAGAAGCCCCGCCTAGACCAGATTCCAGCTGCCAACCTTGATGCCGATGATCCTCTCACAGATGTATGTAGTTTTGGGGTTGGCTTTTTTGTTGTTGTTCTCTTTTTAACACCTCCTAAGTGCTAGAAATGGGCCTCTGCCATTGGGCCCAACTTGTCATATTTTCTTTATTTTTTTTTATTTTGACTTTGTGAAATGATCGGTATTTATTTTTACCTACTGTTACTGAAATGTATCATTTACCTCAACTTTAAACTTAATAATTGTTTTTAAAACAAAGTATTCTTCTGCCTCAAATCTTTTACTAGAGGTTTAGTTTGGAGGGCTGCATGAAAGCAGTCTGTGAAAAAGGACATGCCCACCTGTGACTGAATTGTCAGTCATGTAGAAGGTTAAGCTGCCTTGCTGTAACTCCACAGGACACTCTCAGGCTGAGTGCCTATGAACAGCACCTTTGAGCATTCTACCTAGTTCTGCACTTTCTTTTCCTTAGATACCATGTCCTACTTAGACACATAATGCACATGGGCCCCTCAATCTGAACAGATTGAGCATAAATGCTTACTGGGACCCTACAGCCTTTTGTTATTGTTGCTGTTGTTGTTGTTGTCTGTAGCTCAGGCTGGCCTAGTAATCACAGGCTTCCAGCCTTAGACTTCAGCCTCCTGAGTGCTGGGTTTACAACTGTGTCTACTACACCTGGCTCTCAACTTCACTTTGCCACTTTTTATAGAACTGAACATACAAGGATGACCTTTCTTAAGCAGTATCTAATTGCATACATATGTCAACAATTATAGAGTACACAGAGTTATTAAAATAAGAAACCTTACCTTAAGGGAAATTCTGTTATTCACTCAAAATATTTTCTTTTGGAATATTAGCATCCTCACCTACTAATCTAGTCATTTTGAGCTACATGAATGAACTCTTTTGAGGTGAGACACTGTACATTGTACTGTGTTTCATTCTGAAGCATTACTTGTTTTGGAATGTTTCCGTATGAAAATCCTTTTTGACCTGGTGGTGGTGGTACACATCTTTAATCCCAGCACTCAGGAGGCAGAGGCAGGTGGATCTCTGTTAGTTCAAGGTCAGCCTGGTCTAAAAGCAAGTTCTAGGACAGATAGAGCTGTTACACAGAAAACCTTGTCTTGACACTCTCTAGCCCCCCAAAAAAGAAAATCCGTTTTGACTATCTAAATATGAAAGGTACTTTATCAGGGGTTGGCATTTTAGTTAGTATTCATACATTTTTTTTTGTTGGGTTTTATTTATTATACTTTTATTGGTTGTTGGTCTTAACTATGATATTTGGTACATTTGCTTTTCAATTAGGAAAATTGATTCTATTCTAAAGACTTGGTGAATATAGTTTCTGTGAGAAAGTATATTTTCTTTCTGGATCCTGGGTCACCTTGATCTGTCATAGGAGGAAGATGAGGATTTTGAAGAGGAGAGCGATGATGATGATACGGCAGCTCTTCTTGCAGAGCTGGAAAAAATAAAGAAGGAAAGAGCTGAAGAGCAGGCCAGAAAGGTAATAGTGTTTGCTATTCACATCTCTCCATTACACATTTAAACCACAATTCTTTTTAACTCTGGTGGTATCATTTATTAGAAAGCACCATGTCCAAATACTGTAACACCTATAGATCTGTCTTTTTAAAATGGCATTCTACCTCCCCTAGTTACATTAAATTCCTTTCAGATAGTTCACACATGAATAATGCTCAATTTGCTTAAGAATAAGCTAGTGAACTTTAGTCTTCTAATTAAATGTAAGATAGTCTGCCTCACTTGTTCTCAACCTTCCTAATGCTGGGACCCTTTAACACAGTTCCTCATGTTGTGGTGATCCCAACCGTAAAATTATTGCTACTTCGTAATTATAATTTTGCTACTGTTATGAATCATAACGTAAATATCTGTGTTTTCCAATGGTTTTAGGCAACCCCTATGAAAGGGTGATTCAACTGCCCAGCCTCTCCAAAGGGGTTGCAACCCATAGGTTGAGAACCAATGGTCTACAAAGATTCTCTTCCTGTCTCCTGCTTAACTTGAGACATGTGTCTCAAAAAACTGAATAGGTTTTATACAATCCAAGCAAGTTACCTAACTGTTTAATACCCACAGTCTCTTCACCTATACAATGGGAGAAAATAATATCCAAGTCAAAGAATCAGTAAGCTAGGTCCCAGTGCTGAGAGCGCAGGCAGGTTTTCAAGGTTGAGGGCATCCTGGGCTACATAGCGAGACTGCCTCAAGAAAGTAGAGTGTGTACAACGGTGCTGGAGTTTGTAAAGCAATACTAAGGAAATTGGGGTTTTGCTTAGATGGGTTCATGGATTTCAGCAGGATTAATCAATCTTCTGGCAAAAGTAGAGAGATTGGAAAAAGTCTGAGGCTGTTTCAGTACTCCTCATATGCAATGAAATGAACTATAATCTGCATGGTGGGAGTTGAAAATCAGAACTAGAAAGATAGCTCAGTGATTAAGAGCACTGACTGCTCCTGCAGAGGACCCGAGTTTGATTCCCAGCACCTATGTGGTGGTAACATCTGAAACTCCAGTCTTAGGGAATCTGACACTTCTTTCTGGCCTCCTCAGTCACCAAGCATGAATGTGGAGCATAGACAAACCTGCAGGCAAAACACCAGATAAAATAAAAATTAAAAGAAAAATAGAATTGCAAGTGAGAGAGGTGTTAATGGTAAAGCTGTCAGGAAAGTAGGTAAATGATCTCCATTGTTGGGTGCGTTGTTTCTGTGGAGACAGAAGCCTGGGTCTGTTGAGAGAAAGAGGTGATTTTTATCTTGAACACAGATAGCATCAAGTTAGAGGCCTCTGCTCCATATTCAACCAAATCAGCACAGCTTTTGTGTGGATATTGGTGTGGGATTTTATTTCAGCCAGTAATTGTTTTGTTTTTTTAAAAAGAGAAAAAGACTTGAGGGAAAAGCACTCATGTGGACCAACACCAAGCACGTGGGGGAAAGAGTTCATGTGAGTCAGAAGGGTCAAGGAAGAATTCAGAAAAGAGGACATGGAACTCAGAGCTGTCCAAACTCAGGATAGAAGAAAGCATAACAGTTCTCATCAAGTAATGGTTCTCATTAAAGTTTGGCATAGAGTGCCACTCCTGTAATAAATAGTTTTATGTTTTGTATCTTTTTTTAATTTTCAAGAAGAGTCATTGGCATGCCACTAGTGGGCAACTGTTAAATGCCTAACTGTTGGTGGTTTTCTGATTGATTATTAAGGAATAAGTAGGCATTTTTTTAAGGTCTTAAGAATTATTGGAGTTTCATCTAATGTGTTGGTATTTCTAAGAGTTGAGTGACACCTTCACTTCTTTTTATTCCTGTCTCCTTAGCTGCTTTTTGAAGGTGTTTACAGTAGCAGCATATTCAAGCTAATTAGCCTGTTGTTAGGGATCAGCACACTTCCTGTAAGGACCAGACAGTAAATATTCTTGTGTGGCTGATCACCCAGACACACAAGTAGTGGCTCTGTTACTATTACAGCTCAGAAGTGGCCACAGTGCCTATATTAATAGGGTGGCCATGTTCTCAAAAAATATAATCTCAAGCCTGGGGGGAAAGTGTAGATTTGATCCAGAGGCTGTCTGACCATTCACCTACAAGTCTGACAATATGTTTTTAAATTTTAAATGTTTATTAAAATGCTCCTAAACTTAACCTGTAAGTAACTAAATAAAACGTTTACATCTGTATCTCAGCTTCTCACAATTGAGAGACTGTTGACTATTTTGGAAAGAATGAGATATTTGTAATAAAAATAGCAATGTATTTACTTTTTACAAAGATTTTTCTGGTATTTGTCAAGAATCAAAAAGAGGAATGAGTAAGTTGGTAAAGTGCTTTCCTGCCATGTGCGAAGCCCTAGGTCCCTACCACTGAAAAACTGGGCCTTGTTGTGTACATCTGTGGTACACAACCATGCACTCAGGAAGTGGGTAAGAAGTTCAAGGTCATCCTCTGCTACCTAGCAAGTTCCATGCCAGCTGGGCTATAAGAGAACCTGTCTCAAAAAGGAGAAAGGAAAGGAGAAAGAAAACTACCATCTGACAGATGTTCATTTGTGAACCAATATAAGACAACTGACTTGAAGTTAGTAACTTTGTGTCTTCCTCTGCCATTGACAGGAACAAGAACAAAAAGCAGAGGAAGAGAGAATTCGAATGGAAAATATTCTGAGTGGAAACCCCCTCCTCAATCTCACTGGCCCATCCCAGCCTCAGGCCAACTTCAAGGTTAAAAGAAGGTACTAAAAGTAATGGGTTGACCAGATGGTGGTGGCACACACCTTTAATCCCAGCACTTGGGAGGCAGAGGCAGGCGGATCTCTGTGAGTTTGAGACTAGGCTGAACAGCCAGGGCTACACAAACCCTGTCTTAACCAAGGGGATAAAAAATAATGGGTTGATCTATATGTGTGGTACATTATTTGTATTATGTGTTACATAAGGCTTCTAAGACCCCACCTCCTATATATAACCTCAGTCAGATTTTAGAATAATGGGAGAAGAAGAGAGGCAGGATGACTTCATTTTAATGCATACTCATAATAACCAAGTGTCTGCCAAGTCATGGTCTAAACCTGATCACTAGCTACATGACGGTAGCTACAAAACCTGTACGTGGGATGTGAGTGGAAGGGTCCTCAAGACCACCCCTCACAGTTCAGTTCTAGAAGGATTCAGGGGACTTGCCATGACCATATTGATGTTTGATATTGTAAGATACACACAGATCATACAGTTGTGAGTATTCATAGATATACATTCAGGTCACAAGGTGGAAAGACATAGACTTCCTTACACTCCTATTCCTGTAAGAGGTCACTAAACAGTGAAACTAGAAGTTGACACTTGATGATCAAGGTTATTGGGACTCGTCCTGCAGGAACTTCTGTTGCGTGGAAGTCAAGTTAGTTATGTACTATAGGCAAGTGATGGTGAGAGGTGACTCGGGTCTCCAGTGCTAGCCGAGCTAAGAGGCAGGCTGGGAGTGAACACTGTACTGCATGTGAAGGAGGAGGGCACTAGAGAGCTGGAAAGAGTCTGCATAATGTGACAACAGATGAGGATGCAGAGGAAAGTAGAGTGAGCACTCACAGGAGCCACTGTGTGTGTGTGATGGGGGGGGGGGGGGGGGACTGGGGGAGGGGGTCTATTGTGTGTAGTGTGTGTGTGTGTTGGGGGGGGGGGGGGGGGCTGTACTGTGTCAGGGGTGAGGAGTCCCGTTGCCTTTCCTTTCTGCTCACCTCCACCGCTGCTGTCTCATCAGGAATGAAGCACTGCCCCAGCTGCTCTCCTGCCCATTCACCCCAAAGGTCATGCTCCTGCTCACACACAAAGAAAACTCCATCTTCTTCCAAGCTCTTCTCTCATCCCAGCACCATGGTTCTTTCTTTTAAAAGTCACGATAATAGCTGCTTTTTTCTAAATTCGTTCGTTTCTTTACTCGATCACAGTAAAAGAACAGTCCTTGTGGTGACATAAAGCTAAAAACTTAACACACATTCTTGAAGACAACAGTACAGTCAAGGGAAGGTTTGCTGACACCAGCAGTTTAGAGACCAGACTCCAAGCATTTTACCTGAGCAGTTGCAAGGCAGGCATGGGAAGGAGTATGGCTTATACTGAGCATGAAAGAGGAAACAGGTTCCAGGCATGCTAGGATTGGAGTGCTCTACACATCTCTAAGTGTATCTAGTCTGTGTGTTTCTGCAGTTGGTTCAAGCTGGTAATAATTCGTCTGGGAGTCACCAGCATGGGCAGAGGGTTGTGTCAGTGCCTGGAGTAGGGTGCAGTATAAGTTCATAGTACTGGAGTAGTATAAGTTCATAGTAAGTGCTTAAAAACTAGTATTTGGATTTAAAATCCTAGGCTAAGACTAAGCACCTAGAGAAGAGGGCAGCCAAGACATTCCCATTAGTGTTGTGAGAGGAATGAGTGACAGTCTGGGAATACTGTATGCTGATGTGTGTTCGAAGAGAAGGGAGCAAGGGACCAAAAGCTCATTGGGATGAGTTAAGAGACAAAACACGATAAATGAATATGAAGCAGTCTGGTTTATTCTTCCCTTTGTGGATGCAGGAGTAAATATCCCAGTTTACCATGCTGCTGAGCTTCTCATGTGTGCAACATCAAGGCAAATTTACTGACACAGTACCCATAGGTACACATAGTCTTTGCTCATTTTCCTTGTGCAATTTCTCCTGGTAAATATACACCAACACACACAAGCACAATGTAAGCTGTGTTTTATGTATGTTTGTGTCTGTGTTTGTCATGAGGAAGGGTTTATGTTTTTATATGGGAGGTGCTGCTCTGACGTTATGCACTTTACTTTCCATGGCACCTTTCCATGAGTGTGTTTCATGCTCTCTGAAATCCAGCTGAGTTCTACTCTGAGCTCCTTAGCAGATACTTCTTCAGTATTAATGGAGACTGGGGCCAATCTGTGAATCTTCATTGTTACATTCCTGTAGTTCTGTCTTTTGTTGCTTTATGATGTATGACCAGCATGATGGATATAATTGATTAGAAGTATGTACAAAACTTTACAAAGCATCAGGAAATGGATCACTTACTGTCTAGTGGTGTTGGATCAGGACCATGGCCCTGCCTCTTGGTTTTAGACCTGAAAATATCACACCTTTACCTGAGCGCAGTATGTGTGTCTGCTTCTGCTTTGTAGCTCAGAGCTGCTTCCACTAGGGGAGTGGTATGTGCTCTGAGTATGGGTGCCTCCTGCTGTGACAACTTCCACCATAGGCACACCAGTTCTTTTCTTGTCAGGAGGCAGATTGTGTCTGTGTTGATGAAGCTTTACAGCCTGTGTGGTGTTCTTGTTTCCTGATAGAATTATAAGGTATTTATTTTCTTTTCTTCCCCTTTAGGTGGGACGATGATGTCGTTTTTAAGAACTGTGCAAAGGGTATAGATGATCAGAAGAAAGACAAAAGATTTGTAAATGATACACTTCGATCTGAATTTCACAAAAAGTTCATGGAGAAATATATTAAGTAGTACAGTTTTATGTGCTTAATTAAAGTCTAATAAAATGTTAAGGATCAATTTGACTTTTGGGGGGTTTGTTCTTTCCCTGTTTGAACTTTCTCAATCTCTTTCCCGTAGTGTGGTATTTTATCTATAATGGATTTAGAGGTGAGTCTGACCAGTTTCCAGTCTTACTTCCTTTTTAATATGGAGAAAGGGAATCTGCTTGGAATAAATATTTTTAACCTAAGTAAACCAGTGTCCCCAACTTTTTGCCATAATCTATGCAGCTTATAAAAAATTACATGATTATTTTTTTAAATGAAAAGTACTTTATGTGTTGTTTTTAATGCATTAAATTTTCCCTTTATCCCACACTGATTTGAGGTCCATTAGTAGATGACAGCACTGTGTTTTGTAAGTGTGGTAAAGGATAAGGGGGATTCCACATCAGAGAACATGTCACCATAAGTCCTCTGGGGTGGGTCAGGAGATGCCTGCCATATCAGTCCTGCAAACAATGTTCTTTTCTTTTGGCCTATGACATCCGTTCCCAGAACATAAATGAGTACAGGTACTCATTTATGTCCTTTGGAGCTATGTCCACACACTGAGATGCAAAGCTGTCTTGACTTTCATCAGTACTGACAAAGCTATTCTTTTAATGGCATATTATCATGAAAGATATTTCTGTGCAAAGCCAGAGGAAGAAATACAGCCATAAAAAGCATAATTTCTAAGAAATGTGGCTTTAAATGTTCTACTTTGATAGAAAATTTGGGACCACAAACTGAACGTTTCCCAGATGGGAAGCATTTATTTATTTTTTTAAGATGTTTTGCTGTGTAGGCTCACTTCAAAACTGGGCAACCCTCTTCTCAGCTCTCAAGAACTGGGGCTTACAGGTGTCAGCCACCAAGCCCAGCTCAAACTTTTCAAAAACAATTGGCATGTCTCATTTCCTCTTGCTATTTAGTCATTAAAAAAAGCACATTAATTTGGGGATTGGAGTTAATTTATTGGTAATTTGACTCTAGTTAATAGGATTTGTTGCTCTTGCAGATGATATTCAGTTCCTGTCACAACAATCTTAGGGGATCTAATGCCCTTGTCTGGCCTTCATGCAGCACACCCAGACACATATAGAAAAAGATGCAAATTCATCCAGTGTAGAGTTGACAGGCTTGTATGTTGCCTGAATTGAGAGTGAAGCTGGGAAGGGAGCTAGATCTCCATCCCGCAGCATCCTCTGATGTCTTTTGTAAAGGTTAGGTCTCTTTTTCCGTATTTGTAGTATGGTTGTGGTTCTCCCTAGCCCCGTTAATAAACTACACTCCTGCAGTTTCTATCACTGGAGTACATTCTAGTTCTGAAACCATTCTCACATGCCAGCTCTTTTAGGGATTTCTCATTTCATTTTTGTAAAATACACTGTTCTCTCCTGGCCTGGGTCTCAAAGTCCTGTAAGAGGGAGAAGGGAGAAGAATATGTGCCAGGTTTTCCTCATTCTATGATCCAGATTCCTTTCCTTTTTGACAAAGAGGGACGATGACAAGAGGGAAAGGTGATTAACTAATCAAAAGCAGCTGCCTCAGAGCATCCCCATGTCAACAAGTGCCACAGTGGAGGCTGTGTAGAGAACAGTTCTGTTGAGACTAAGTTCCTCAATACTCAGGGCTCCTTCAAAGTCCCCAGTCCTGTGCCTCTTCCAGAAGGTTGTTACATAAGAACTGGGGCTGAGTCTCCCTTGAATCATTTACTTCTAAAAAACCAAAGGGTGTTACAGTGTTTTTTTGTCCTACCAGGTCCCGCCACCCTTCTCAGCCCCAAGCAAGCACACAGAGACTTACAAAACTGTTGGCCAATGACTAGGGTTTATAGGCTATTAACCCATTTCTATTAATCTATGTATTTCCACATGGTCTTGGCTTACCAGAGAATGTCTGGACCTTCTACTCCTTTGTCAGCTACATGGCAACTCTCTGCCTGCTTTTCCCAGAATTCTCATCCTAGTCCTGCCTATCCTTCAGCCTCATTGGCCAGATAGTGTTTTATTCATCAGCCAATAAGAGAAACATATATACAGATGTACATCCCCCATCAAAAGAGAGAAGTAAAGCTGCCGGTGAGAAAACCGTGGATAACCAATGGGCGGCAATGTCTGTGCAGCAACAAAATTCCCTGTGCCACCGGCAGGCCCTGTAGACACCAGTTCCTAGTCAGGTCATTCCAGATCACCTGACTAAGCTGCTATCGTACAACCTCCCTCTTAAGCACTCAGTGAATGACCGCCAATCAGAAGATAGAGTCGGAACTCACAATCACTATAGCTACAGAAAGTGTAAAACACATAGTCATAACTTAATAAAAATGTGCTGAAACTCTGAAGAAAACTCCTAACACTATCATGGGGCACTAAAAAGCCCTTCATAAGTAGGAGGATTCAATAGTTGAAAGTTAGTTCCCCAGCCAAGAGAAATCACAATTCCTGTAGGTTCATGCCTTTAAAAAGTTAGTATTTGAAGCCAGGCATGGTGGCACAGGCCTTTAATTTCAGCAGTCGGGAGGCAGAGGCAGGTGGATCTCGAATTTGAGGCCAGCTTGGTCTATAAAGGGAGTTCCAGGACAGCCAGTGCTGTTACCTGTCTAAAAACACCAAAAAAAAAAAAAAAATTGACCAAATTATTTTAAATTTGTCCATTAGAACAAGTTTGTGATGGTGTATAGTATGTCCTTAATTCCAGAGGCAGATGGGTTTCTCGAGTTGTAGGCCAGTTTGATCTATATAGTGAATTTGAGGCCAGCCAGGGCTACATAGTGAGACCCTGTCTGAAAAATAATAAATTTATAAGAATGTCTAGAAAAATAGCTAACAGGCAACAATAGTAAGAATTTTACCTAAGTTTTTAAATCTCTCCCTTTCCCCCTCCTTCTCTCTCTATATATGTGCTTGTTTATGAGGGCATGAGGTTAGGGGACAGATTTGGGTGTTGGCCCTCACCTGTTTTGAGGCAGAAATTTTTTGGTTTTTTTGGGTTTTTGTTTGTTTTGTTTTGTTTTTTGTTTCTTTTTGGTTTTTGTTTGATTGTTTGTTTGTTTTTTGCTGCTGTGTTGCATACTCCAGGCTAGTTGTTGTCTAAGCTTCCAGGACCTCCACCCCCACCCCCATGTCTGCCTCTCATCTTGCTGTAGGTGTGATGGGATTACAGAGTTATACCACTGCACTCAGCTTTTCATGGGATTCAAGCTCAGACTGTCCTACCGCACTTTTATCACTGAATCATTTCCCTGGCCCTTCCCTACCAATTTTCAAATGGACTATAAATATGCAAATATTAGTATGTTTGTGCTGCAAATGGGAGAGCTCAGATGTAGATTGTCATTGATTCACACACAATATATACCTTAGTAGAACATACATATTTCTTGTAAGTTGCTGTAGGCCTTTGTCCTGTTCCTCTATTAGACTGTACTAACCCTTCTTCAAAACAGGAAGCACCTGTTCAGCATTTCAAGTCCCCACTGCTGGATTTCACTTAAGTCAGCATGGTAAAATCCTGTGCATTTAGCCTAGATATCACAGATATTCGCAGGTTAGTCTGGACTCAAAGTAGATATTAAGTACTGATACCTAGAATGCTTCCACAGGTGCATCCCTGTAGAGGGCATGAGGTCTTTGTGCTCACAGAAAAGCATTAGGAAAACAGAATGGTAAGCATTCAGGCTTGTCTATTAAACAGGAGAGATATGTAAACCTGTTTTCCATCCAGAAAATTGAGAGTGGTTGTTGTTGAGCATGCCAGATCCTAGTCCCTTAAGCTATAGAACCCAACTTCATGGTAGAGGCCACATATGCTTTGCAAAACAGTTTCAGACACTGTCAATCCTTAAGCTTTATTATGTACATGGAATTGATACAATTGTTAGCAGGAAACTTTTTTTTTCCAAAATTGTGCTCCACTCAATTATGTCTAAAACAAACTGCATGGTGTCAGATTCCAGATGTTTAAACCAGTACCACTAGATTGTACTGAACCAGATTTCCATCTCGCCTCTCTCAGAATGTTTCTCTGCTGGCGTTAGCATTAGGAGGGACCCACATAAATCCCCACATGCAGACATGTGAAATAGTTCTCCTTCTCTGGTGGTTTCACCATACCTCATCCCTTAACACACACAGCTGCACTACTCCAGCTGCTTCCACACCATGGACAGATGACTTACTGTATCCCACACACTCTCTAAGAATGGGCGGTGAGAAGAGAGTCTCACACCTTGGGACTCAAAAGAGAAATCATACTTGTACCTTGAAGTCAGACCTTACTGAGCTCCTGGACTTCCAGTGACTTGAGCACCTTTGATGTTAATAGCCATTTTCAGAAGCCTAAGTTCCTTCCCTTGTTAGGGAAATAGACCCTCAAATGTTTGGTTCCCTCTAATTCTGTTCTATATTAAATTGCTCATGGATTATGAATCTTAGATATTCATCCGCAGATGTATAAAAGATGCTCAAAAATGCCTGTTGAATGGCATTGCCCATCACTGGCACAGGGGAAGGAGGCAACCCACTTGAATAAGGTGAACAGGCTCTGAGTAGCAGCTCAGACAACACGCTTTATGGCTGTCCTGAACAAAGCCTGATGCTGACACCGAACACTCTTACATGTAGTAGGTTCTCCGTTTTCTTTCCCCTCCTGCTAGGGACGTAGCTGGAATCTTAGACCCCAGAATCCCAGACTTTATTGACAATAAATCTCTTGATTGAAGAGAGGAGATTGGGTTGGCTCCACTTTCACTGGGCCCAAAGTTTGTGATGGTGTATAGTATGTCCTTAATTCCAGAGGCAGATGGGTTTCTCGAGTTGTAGGCCAGTTTGATCTATATAGTGAATTTGAGGCCAGCCAGGGCTACATAGTGAGACCCTGTCTGAAAAATAATAAATTTATAAGAATGTCTAGAAAAATAGCTAACAGGCAACAATAGTAAGAATTTTACCTAAGTTTTTAAATCTCTCCCTTTCCCCCTCCTTCTCTCTCTATATATGTGCTTGTTTATGAGGGCATGAGGTTAGGGGACAGATTTG